CTGAAGCTAAGCTAAAGCTAAGCTAAAGCTAAGCTAGAACTAAGCTAAAGCTAAGGTAAAGCTAAGCTCAAGCTAATGTAAAGCTAAGCTAAAGCTAAGCTAGAGCTAAGCTAGAGATGAGCTAAAGCTAAGCTAAAGCTAAGCTAAAGCTAAGCTAGAACTAAGCTAAAGCTAAGCTAAAGATAAGGTAAAGCTAAGCTAAAGCTAAGGTAAAGCTAAGGTAAAGCTAAGCTAAAGCTAAGCTGAAGCTAAAGCTAAAGCTAAAGCTCCCAGGGGACTGGGGGAACCGCGGGGCGGATCCTGGGGAACCGCCCGGGGCGGGTTCCACTGCCCGGCCCCTTGAGCCCACACAGCAAGAACCCTTCTAGGCAGAGCCTAGGTAGGGAGTAAGCTAAGCTAAGATGAGATAAGCAACGCTAAGCTAAGCGGACGTCACTGGGGGAACCACGGGGCGGATGCCAGGGGAACCGCCCGGGGCGGGTTGCACTGCCCGGCCCTGTAAGCACACACAGTAAGAACCCTTCTAGGCAGAGCCGCCTAGGTAGGGAACAAAGTGTTCGCGGGCCTCACGAACATGATTCAAGACTTTGAGACTCTGCCCCAAAGTGTAATTTGAATTGTTTTTGTTACAGGAATTGCGGGGCGGGAGATGGGGCGCATCGGGTTGGCCGCGCATGCTCAAAATGTGGAGGCAGAGTGCGGCTTGTATTGTTTTGTTGACAGGGATGGTGGGGGTGGGGCCCTCATGGTTTCTTGGTTGGCCGCCGGTCGCCTGGGGGATGGGGTGTATCTCAATAGGGAACAGCGACCAAGACACCCTCCTAGATAGCAAGCCGTCTAGCTCACTCCCACCCGCCCTCCCAGCACATAAGTAACACCCGAGCCTCAGCATGTTCAGCGGTCGTCTTTGGATGGACAGCTATTGGGAACCAAAGCCGACCCCAGGTGCGCGACGCTGGGGCGAAGTGCGCCACGCGTGCCAGGCACGCCACACGCGCCAGGCACCCCTGGGGCCCGAGCGTGCCAGGCACGCATGGTGCGCCAGATGCGCCACATGCTCCGCGTGCGCTTGGTGTGCCGCATACTCCAGCCACGCCAGGTGCGCCACGTTCGGGGCACGCGCAAAGTGTGTCAGGTGCGCCTGCGCACGTGACAGCAGATTATCCCAGTGCGACCCTACCTAGGAGTTGGAGCCCCTAGGAAAGCAGCATTAGTAGTAACAGTAAAGCTAAGCCAAAGCTAAGCTAAAGCTGAGCTGAAGCAGAGCTGAAGCTATGCTAAAGCTAAGCTAAGGCTAAGCTAACACTAAGTTAAAGCTAAGATGAAGCTAAGCTAAAGCTAAGCGAAAGCTAAGCGAAAGCTAAAACTAAAGCTAAGCTAAAGCTAAGCTAAAGCTAAAGCTAAGCTAAAACTAAGCTGAAGCTAAGCTGAAGCTAAGAGAAAGCTAAGCTAAAGCTAAGCTAAGGCTAAGCTAAAGCTAAGCTGAAGCTAAGCTAAAGCTAAGCTGAAGCTAAGATAAAGCTAAAGCTAAGCTAAAGCTAAGCTAAAGCTAAAGCTAAGCTAACACTAAAGCTAAAGCTAATATAAAGCTAAGCTAATTCTAAGCTAAAGCTAAGCTATCACTAAGCTGATCGATAAGCTAAAGCTAAGCTAAAGCTAAGCCAAAGCTAAGCTAAAGCTAAGCTAGCACTAAGCTAAAGCTAAGCTAACACTAAGCTGAAGCTAAGCTAAAGCTAAGCTAAGGCTAAGCTAACACTAAGTTAAAGCTAAGCTAAAGCTAAGCTGAAGCTAAGCTAAAGCTAAGCTAAAGCTAACCTAAAGCTAAGCTAAAGTTAAAGCTAAAGCTAAGCTGAAGCTAAGCTAAAGCTAAGCTCAAGCTAAGCGAAAGCTAAGCTAAAGCTAAGCTAAGGCTAAGCTAAAGCTAAGTTGAAGCTAAGCTAAAGCTAATCTGAAGCTAAGATAAAGCTAAAGCTAAGCTAAAGCTAAAGCTAAAGCTAAAGCTAAAGCTAAAGCTTAAGCTAAGCTAAAGCTAAGCTAACACTAAGCTAAAGCTAAGCTTTTATTAAGCTGATCGATAAGCTAAAGCTAAGCTAAAGCTAAGCTAAAGCTAAGCTAAAGCTCAGCTAAAGCTCAGCTAAAGCTAAGCTAAAGCTAAGCTAAAGCTAAGCTAACACTAAGCTAAATCTAAGCTAACACTAAGCTGAAGCTAAGCTAAAGCTAAGCTAAAGCTAAGCTAAAGCTAAGCTAACACTAAGCTGAAGCTAAGCTAAAGCTAAGCTAAAGCTAAGCTAAGCTAAGCTAAAGCTAAGCTAAAGCTAAGCTAAAGCTAAAGCTAAAGCTAAGCTAAAGCTAAGCTAAAGCTAAAGCTAAGGCTAAAGCTCCCAGGGGACTGGGGGAACCGCGGGGCGGGGACTGGGGGAACCGCCCGGGGCGATTAGCATTGCCCGGCCCCTTTAGCTAACAGAGTAAGAACCCTTCTAGGCAGAGCCTAGGTAGGGAACATCGGGAAACATGTCGGCCCCCACCATTCTTGTCGAACAGCAATGCCCATCACTGTGTCTGGTGGGCCTGCGCACAGGAGGTCATACGCCACCACCCCCTCCGTCCCTGTCAAAAACCACTTGAAAGTGATCGCGGGGCTGCCGCGCATGACCCAGATTTAGCCGCGAGGTGCATGTTGTATTGTTTATTGTTAGGGATGGTAGCCTTGCGCACAGCAGGCAATATGCTGACACCCCCGCCTTCCTTTTCAAAAACAATACGAGGTGTTCGCGGGCCTCACGAACATGACTCAAGACTTTGAGACTCTGCCCCAAAGTGTAATTTGAATTGTTTTTGTTACAGGAATTGCGGGGTGGTGGGGGGGCGCATCGGGTTTGCCGCGCATGCTCAAAATGTGGAGGCAGAGTGCGGCTTATATTGTTTTTGACAGGGATGGTGGGGGTGGGGCCCTTATGGTTCCTGGTTGGCCGCCGGTCGCCTGGGGGATGGGGTGTATCTCAATAAGGAACAGCGACCAAGACACCCTCCTAGATAGCAAGCCGTCTAGCTTACTCCCCCTCGCCCTCCCAGCACATAAGTAACACCCGAGCCTCAGCATGTTCAGTGGTCGTCTTTGGATGGAAAGCTATTGGGAACCAAAGCCGACCCCAGGTGCGCGACGCTGGGGCGAGGTGCGCCACGCGTGCCAGGCGCGCCACGCGCGCCAAGCACCCCTGGGGCCCGCGCGTGCCAGGCACGCCTGGTGCGCCAGATGCGCCTCATGCTCCGCGTGCGCTTGGTGTGCCGCATACTCCAGCCACGCCAGGTGCGCCACTTTCGGGGCACGCGCAGAGTGCGTCAGGTGCGCCTGCGCACGTGACAGCAGACATCGGGAAACATGTCGGCCCCCGCCATCCTTGTCGAAAACCGATGCCCATCATTGTGTCTGGTGGGCCTGCGCGCAGCAGGCCATACGCCACCACTTGAAAGTGATCGCGGGGTGGCCGCGCTTGACGCAAATTTGCCGCGAGGTGCATGTTGTATGTTTTTGTCGGTGGTGGTAACCCTGCGCGCAACAGGCAATATGCTGAGACCTCCGTCGTCCCTACAATTATCCTGGCGAAAGACCCAACCACAAGCAATTGTTCGTAACGCGTTGTGGGTGCCGCTTTCGGTGGGGCTCCCTATGGGGCCACGACACGCTGCCTCTGGTGGGGGAACCGCATGCGAACTGCGCCACTGGGGCGGGCCTTCGGTGGAGCTCCCTATGGGGCCACGAAACGCTGCCCTGGGCGGGGGAAACGCATGCGAACTGCGCCACTGGGGCCTTCGGTGGAACTCCCTATGGGACCACGAAACGCTGCCCCAGGCTGGGGAACCGCATGCGAACTGCGCCACGGGGGCCTTCGGTGGAGCTCCCTGTGGGGCGACGAAACGTTGCCCTGGGTGGGGGAACCGCATGCGAACACCCCCACTGGGGCCTTCGGTGGAGCTCCCTATGGGGCCACGAAACGCTGTCCTGGGTGGGGGACCCGCATGCGAACACCCCCCATGGGGCCTTCGGTGCAGCTCCCTTTGGGGCCACGAAACGCTGTCCAGGGTGGGGGACCCGCATGCGAACACCCCCACTGGGGCCTTCGGTGGAGCTCCCTATGGGGCCACGAAACGCTGCCCTGGGTGGGGGAACCGCATGCGAACACCCCCACTGGGGCCTTCGGTGGAGCTCCCTATGGGGCCACGAAACGCTGCCCTGGGTGGGGGAACCGCATGCGAACACCCCCACTGGGGCCTTCAGTGGAGCTCCCTTTGGGGCCACGAAACGCTGCCCTGGGTGGGGGAACCGCATGCGAACACCCACACTGGGGCCTTCGGTGGAGCTCTTATGGGGCCACGAAGCGTTGCCCTGGGTGGGGGAAGCGCATGCGAACACCCACACTGGGGCCTTTGGTGGACCATCGGGACAACGCGGGACACTACAGCGGGACACCCCCAGCCACTGCGCGCCTACCGGGGCCCAGACTTTTGCATCCGAATCGCCCTAGCGACGGCGGGATTATTCCTCTCGCGCGCCCTCGGCGAGACACAGCGAGACACCATCGGGACACCGCGAGACACCACGGCAGGACACCCCCAGCTACCGCGCACCTACAGGAGGGCTGGATGTTTGCATCCGAATCGCCCTAGCGACGGCGGGATCAGTCCTCTCGCACGCCCACGCAGCTTCGCCTCGCCCGTACGCACGACACGAACACGAAACCGAAACCGAGTTCCCGGTGGGGGCCTTTCCGTTCCACTGCGATCTCACCCCCCAACTTCCAATAATGTAAACGGATGGAGGAGGGAGAGGAGGGCGATGAAGACGAGAGGGAGGAGGGGGAGGACGAGGACGAGGGCGAGGGAGAGGAGTGCGAGGAGGAGGAGGAGGAGGAGGAGGAGGAGGAGGAGGGGGAGGAGGAGGGGGAGGAGACGGAGGAGGAGGAGGAGGAGGAGGAGGAGGAGGAACAGGAGGGGGGGCGCCAGGTGCCGCTGGCCGCGACAGCTGCGCGGCCGACGGCAGACTGGTGGCTAGCCGCCAGCAGAACCAGGGGGCTCTGGCCAGGCTTCGGTCTTCTCTCCCTTCCGAGCCTGGACCCCTCGAGTCGTGGAAGAAGTTGCGGAGGTTTCTGTGACGGCCTCTGGGGGCCCTCCTTGGGTCCCAGGGCCGTCGAACAAAACTGCACGGGATGAGGAATTGGTCCCAAGAGGAAGGTCTAGACCTCCAGGGCACCTTGTGAAAGAATCGCGTCTTCGGAGGCTTGAGAGCGACGGGCCATCCTGGGGATGGCAGTCCACTTCGAGGGCTCCAGGGATGGCTCCGTCCTCGAGGGGTCGAAGGGGTGGTGTCTCTCCTTCGGCTGGGGGCCGGCGGAAGCAAACAACGACGTTGGCTGCGCCGGCAGAAGGCCAGCGGAAGCGAAAGTTTCCCGCCAAGAGCCGGCGACTACAAACGGTGTGGTTACACTGGGGTGTGGTTTGCGATCTGCGTCGCTTGGGGCTTGGGGGGCACCACGTTGCCCTCCTCGGGCCGCCTCGGGGCGCGGCGGAGAATTCTGTCGATGTCCTCGTCCGGGGTACGGGTTGCAAACCACACCCTTTGCAAACCACACCCTTCGGAGTCGCCAAAAGAGAACCAACTTTTTGTAATTCAGGGGGGTCCGGAACGAACCTAGGTCAGCGGCGCGAAGCAGGGGGCAGTCGGACCGAGGTACAAGGTCGATGTCGGTTCGGGGAGGGTGCCCTGACGTTCTTCGTGTTTGTTGGATGTTCTGGTTCATCCTGAGGGTGGGTACCCTCGAATGCTCTTCAGTTTGGGCCGGCGGAGGGCCTCATGTTCGTTAGGGATGTTCTTCTGGCCTAGGTCCGACTGTAGCGCGAGGGGCCGGCTTTTAGGGAGGCACGGGGCTTCTCAGCATCCGGCCTTCACCCATTTGGGAGGGCTTCCGTCGACGAGGCTTGGTGATGATTGCCAGGCACGGTTGCAAGGCGTGCTTCCACGGAGCCCCACTTGGCCACCATTTGATCACCTCATCGCCCTGGCGCCCCCACCCTCCGGACCTCTGTTCTGGGTGCCCCCCACCCCCCGGCCACCACTTGATCACATCGCCGAAGCACCCCCACCCCCTGGACCTCTGTTCTTGCGTACCCCCGCCGACACTTGCCTAGTTGGTCTAGGATGAAGTCGAGCGCGTCCCTCTACAGGAGGAAAAACATCATCAAAAATGGCTGTTGTTCTTTAATTTATAATCAAAGATTGGGACGATTGTTTTAGTATGTTTGAGCACGTTGGGAGTATTTTATGACTATTTCTCATTCGCCGTCCAAAATCCCCCTGTAGGGGGACAGGCCCGACCGAAGTCTAGGATCTCGTCTGCTCCTGCAGCCAGGGCGCCTCCCAGAGGCGGCCGGTCCCTCGCAGGAGGTCGGGCCGCCCCCCTGGAGCCACGTGCCTGTGCGCACCCCTGGCGCAGGGCCCCAGGGTCAAGGCAGGAACAACCACCCCTCCCGTCACCACCTGCCAAACCACCCCAACCCCACCCGCAGGCCCCAAGTTGGCCCCCCTTCCCAGGGAGGGGGGGGGGGGGGCGCGTCGGGGAGCATCAAAAAAACACGCACTGAACCCGCACCACCCCCCCCCCCACCCAGCTCGAAGTGTAGGTCTTCGGGCTAGGTTGGGATGGTCTGGTAGGCAGTCGTCCTGGAGGCGTCGTCTCGCCGCCACGGCCAGGTCCGCCTCTCAAGGCTGGTCAGACCGGACCCCGTGGATCCGGGGACCGATTTTGAGCGGGTTTGGGCTGGGCGGGAGGATTTGTGCGGGTTTTGAGCGGGTTTGGGCTGGGTTGGACCGATTTTGAGCGGGTTTGGAGCGGCTTTGGAGCGGCTTTGGAGCGGGTTTGGAGCGGGTTTGGGCTGGGCTGGACCGATTCTGAGCAGGTTTGGGCTGGGCGTTTCCCGGAGCAGGGGCGCTCTGTGTCGGCAGCTGGCCGTGCAGCAAGCTCGGCCTCGGCGACGTGGCGGCCTCTGGCAGTCCTGGCCCTGGAGCCTTGAACGGTTTGCTTGTCCGACGGTCCCATCGTGGGCGTTCTTTCTGTGCTCCATCCCTGCTTTGCCCCTGGCAATGCAGACCCGACTCCGCTTCGTCGATCAGATTAGTGATGACGTCGATGGCTGTGCAGCGAATGGATCTCTGGATAGATGCGACAGTAGCCTCTGGAGCACTTTTGATTACGTGTCGGATGTAGTTCCAAGGTAGTTTTCAGGAAGGTTCTGGGAGCCCCCCGAGACATGACCTCGACTTGAGAAAGGGTTTTGGAAAGGGTCCAGGGGTCGCGAGGCACAGTGTCTTGAGCGTGTAGCAGCGTAGCATGCGCGTGCCCCCTTTCGTCTGCGAGAGCTGCCGCGTCCCATTGGCCTGCTGATACCTGGCAAAGGTTAGCTCCTATGTTGCAGTTTCATATGCTTCCTGTGTTGTTCCGTGTGCTGTCCGAAGTGATTGGGGGCAGTTGGCCTACCCGCTCGTTGGTTCGAAGGGCCATCATCACCACCACCAGAATCATCCACCATTTTCTCGTGTTCCTCCTCCTCCCCCTGTCCCTCCATCCCCCAGTTGTCTCCTTCCTCGCCCGCGCCCATCTTCACCCCTCCCCTCCTTCAGACAAGGCAGCCAGGCAGTGGGTGGAGGCCCGTGCCGAATTTGAGCCACGTGGAGAGGAGGGAGAGAAGTAGAGAGAGAAAGTGAGGGAGAGAAAGAGAAAGAGAGAGAGGGAGAGGGAGAGAAAGAGAGACAGACAGAGGGAGAGGGAGAGAGAGAGAGAGGGATAGAGGGACAGAGAGACGGAGAGATAGAGAGATTCAGGCACTCAGGGACAGAGGAAGACAGAGAGAGAGAGAGAGACAGCGAGGCTCAGGCATGCAAAGACAGTGAGCCTCCCAAGTTGCTTGGGAAAAGCGGGGGGGGGAAGCGTTGGGCGCAGTCGGCGGCGGCGAATCTGACGGCTTCCAGACCACCAGCCCTCCCCGCTGCAGGCTCTCTGCGCCGTCGCTCGCCAGATGGGGGGGGTGAGCTGCGCTGTCCCCTGGTGGCGTTTGAAGTGATGTCTCGAGTCACGGTGGGGGGAGGCAGCTTCGAAGAAGGCGTTCGCAGAACATTTGTGAACACGAAGGTGTCGGAAAAGATCCCGCCACGTGAAAGAAGGTCGGTGCCCACAAACAGTATGTGTGGGACCCCCCACAGTACGTCTGAAAACTCCAAAAGCAGGTCTGGGAATCCAAGAGTAGATCTGGGGTTCGCAGAGGAAGCCTGGAGCACGCCAGCAGTAAGCCTGACAGTCCTCCTGTGGTTTGGCCCCACTCCGTCCCTGGACTGCGCATTGCCATCGCGAAACTTGCCAAGGACTCTCCTAGAAATCTCCCGGACGCCCCCTGTATGACTACAAGTTGCCTCAAGAGACGCTCCAGGAGGCCCCAAGCAATTTCCAACACAACCGAAATCTATCAAAATCGATGCCTGCTCTGGATTCCCTTCGTCGGATGGCCTTGGGAGCGCTCCTGAGGGCCTCAGGACGGCCCCGCAACGACCGACGAATGGTCCAAGAGGGCCCCTGATCGACCCAGGAGGAGCCCAAGGCGGTCCAAGAGAGCCTGCCGAAGGCGCCAAGGGAGCCCCAAGACGGCCCACAAGAGGGCCAAGACGGCCCAGAAGATCCCCAAAGATTCACAAGTCGCGCCACGACGTCCCAAGATGGCCGAAGAGCCCCCTCAGAGGCCCCCGAAAGCGCCCAGGAGCCCCCCACGAGCCCCCGACAAAAAAACACGTGCTAGAAAGAAAAAACTTTGAACCAAAAGACGGTGGTTTTGGAACAACTGTTTTGTCCTTCGTTTCAATGTATCTCTTTTTGTTCGTGATGTTTTTCCCGACGCCCCCCCAAGACACCCCCTGAGGAGCTCCAAGACAGTCTCCGGGCACTCCAGGAAGAGCCCCAGGAAGACCCATCGAGGGTATATAAAAAACCTTGCGGCTTTTGTTATACCCTTGCGGTTGTTTATACTCTCGCGGTGTTGATATCCTCGTTCTTTTTCATACCCCACAAGTTGGCCCACTTCACATTCAAAATCCACCCGCGCGGGCCCCGCACAATCCGACGATGTGCGATGGCTGCCCCGCTGCAGCCGAACACAGCCCGCTGGGGCCCGTGGGGCTCCGTAGAGGTTCGCGGTATTAGGGGGCCTCTCCAGAATGTTTTTGTTCGCTCCTGGGACATCCTGTTCATCTTGCTTGGGAGGTCACCGGAAACGCGGTCGGCCAAAGAACACATGAGCGACGCAACAAAACGGTGCAGTCTGCGCCGACATGTGCGCGCAGGTTACCCGCATAAAAGGTCGCGCGTAGGCGCCGTCGTGTCCAATGCAGCGTGCCGCGCTGGCGGCCCGCATAAGCCACCGTGTAAGGTCGCTAAGTCGTCTCGCGTAAGACCCCTTTCTGATCGTCGCTCCCACGGAAACATAATGTATTTGCCATGGCGCACTAGGCAGCCGGCGACGAGGACATGTTGCTTCAATACTGGCGAGGGAGCGCCCAGACGTGGCGACGTGCGGCGCGCGATGTCTGCTCACAGGTTGCAGCGTAAGTCTGTACTTCTCGGTCTGTATGCTACTGCCGGCGCAAGTCTGACGTGCATGGCGCGCTGGCTCGCTCCAGATGGCTTCAGGAGCGCAGCGGAGAAGCCTCAGACGCCCCAAGGGGCCTTCGAGAGGGAGGTGGGAGGAGGGGGAACGAGGAGGAAAAGGACCAGGGATGAGGAGGAGGAGGAGGAGGAGGAGGAGGAGGACAACAAAGCTGTGGTCCCCAGCGAAGCTGTACCCGACAAAGCGCTCCCCGGCACAAAGCGGCTCCTGGCGGAGCGGCCCGAACAGGGCCAGCTGCCTGGATCCGTATACCCAGACCCCCGACGTGATTTGTTTACGATGGCGGCCCCCCATGGTCTCGACCCATTCCCTGGGACAGGTTTCTCCTCCTGGGTCGTTTTGACACGGTCCCGAGGCCCGGGAAGGCCCTCCCGCCCCAGAGGCCGAAAAGAGCGACCAGACTCCTGTCGTGTTTGTTTCGTGTCCCGAGGGGGACTGGGCACGTGACAGCCGCCAGCTCAGTGGCCTTCTTGCGGTTGTTTCCACGGCCTCTCGAGGGAGGCCGGAGTTCAGGAGGAAGAAAAAACACACAGACAAATGATCGCTGATTCCCGGGAAAAGTTGGGGAACTATGAGACCTGGGGAGGAAGGCGAACATCGAGAAAATATGTAAAACAAGTAGGGAATCCTGGGAGGTGTGTCTGCTCAGCCTGTGTGCACGCCGCCGCCTGTTCCTCCACTTGGGCCAGGGCTACCTCTGGCAGCACCCGAGAGGGGAGGAGGTAGGAGGAGGAGGAAGAGGAGGCGGAGGAGGAGGAGGAGGAGGAGGAGGAGGAGGGGGAGGAGGAGGGGGAGGAGGGGGAGGAGGGGAAGGCGGCGGAGGAGGCGGAGCAGAAGGAGGAGGAGGAGGAGGAGGAGGGGGAGGAGGGGGGGGGAAGAGGAGGAGGAAGGTGGGGAGGAGGAGCCCTTGGCAGCACCCGAAAGGTGGTCCAGGGGCGGCCCCTCCACGCGCACGTGCTGGCCGCGGCCGCGGGCCGCGCAGCGTCGCTGCCCCGACGGAGTCTGCGCGGGCTCGTCGGCGTCGGCGTCGGCGTCGGCGTCGGCATCGTCGTCGTTGTCTTTGGGCGTGTTTGGTCCTGCGTGGGCCTCTGGGAGGCTCCTCGTCGCCACGGCCAGATCCGCCTCGAAGCTTTGGGTCAAAGCGCACCCCGAGAGAGGTCCGGGGATCGGTTTTCCAGGGTCGACGTGAAGAACAAATCGGCTCCGAGGGAGGAACGAAGACGGGGGGAGTGAGGAGGCGGAGGAGGAGGAGGAGGGGGAGGAGGAGAGGATCATCAAGAAGAGGAAAATGAGCAGGGCGGACGAGAGTGGAGGAGGGGAAAGGATGGAGAAGGGGGGAGGATAAGGACGAAAGAAACCGATGACCAAAGCCGTAGGCGCCTGCGGCCATCATCACCTCCCTAGTGCGGCGTGGGGGACACTGGGCGCTTTCGCCAAAGCCCGGGCCCAGGACCCTGCGCGGCATGTGGTGGACGTCGCTGTGGGTGTGCCCGGCCGGGAGGGGCGCTGCTCCCGCTGCAAGGAGGGAGGAGGAGGAGGAGGAGGAGGAGGAGGAGGAGGAGGAGGAGGAAGAAGGGGTTTCCGGTGGCCGTCGATTTTTTGAGGCCCCCCGCGTCGCCACTGCTGGACTCGACTTGGAAAGCGGGTCGGGATGGCCTCCCGGGGGGCTGCTGAGCTGTTCCCAACCATCCTGTGGTGTTGGGTCCTCGTTTTGAAGAGAGCGCCCTGCGTCCTCCTCCTCCTCCTCCTCCTCTCCTCCTCCTCCTCCCTCCTCCTCCTCCTCCTCCTCTTCCTCCTCTCCTCTCCTCTCCTCTCCTCTCCTCTCCTCTCCTCTCCTCTCCTCTCCTCTCCTCTCCTCTCTTCCTCCCCTCCTCCCTCCCTACCATCCTCGACTCTGCGCTTCGCATGTCCCTGTTTCGCCGCACCCCTCACACGTTTCGTGGCCCCATACGGAGCTCCCCCGAAGGTCCCAGTGGCAGAGCCCGCAAGCCGCCACCTCGCCTTTTCGGCACCCCCTTCACACGTCTCGTGGCCCCACAGCGAGCTCCACCGAAGGCTCCAATGGCAGGGCCCGCATGCCGCCACCTCGCCATTTCAGCAACCCTCACACGCTTCGTGGCCCCATAGGGAGCTCCACCGAAAGCCCCAGTGGAAAAGGCCGCCTGCCGCCGACGGGCCACTTTGGCACACCCTTCACACGTCTCGTGGCCACATAGGGAGCTCCACCTGCTGCTCCAGTGGCAGGGCCCGCATGCCGCCACCTCGCCATTTCGGCACACCCTTCACACGCTTCGTGGCCCCATAGGGAGCTCCACCGAAAGGATCCAGTGGCAGAGCCCGCATGCCGCCACCTCGCAATCCCAGCACCCGTCACACGCGTCGTGGCCCTATAGGGAACTCCACTCAAGGCCCCAGTGCTAGGGTCCGCATGCCGTCACCTCGCCATTTCGGCACACCCCTCACACGGTTCTTAGTCCCGTAGGGAGCTCCACCGAAGACCCCAGTGCCAGGGCCCGCATGCCGTCACCTCGCCATTTCGGCACACCCCTCACAGCTTTCGTAGCCCCATAGGGAGCTCCACCGAAAGCCCCAGTGGCAGGGCCCGCATGCCGCCACCTCGCAATTCCGGCACACCCCTCACACGTTTCGTGGCCCCATAGGGAGCTCCACCGGAAGCCCCAGTGCCAGGGCCCGCATGCCGCCACATCGCCATGTTGGCACACCCCTCACACGGTTCGTAGCCCCGTGGGGAGCTCCACCTGAGGCCCCAGTGGCAGCCCGCATGCCGCCACTTCAAAATTTCGGCACACCCGTCACACGCTTCGTGGCTCCATAGGGAGCTCCACCGAAGGCCCCAGTGGCTGCGTTCGCATGAAGTTCCACTCCACCATTTCGGCGAACCCCTAACGCGTTCGGTGGCCCCACTGGGTGCTTCACCTGAGGCCCCAGAGGCAGCGCCCGCATGCGGTTCCATCCCACATTTTGGCACACCCCTCGCACATTTCGTGGCCTGAGGCGGAACCACCGAAGGCCGCAGCGGCAGGGTCCGCATGTCGGTGCCGCCCCATGTCTGCACACCTCTCACACGTTTCGTGGCCCCATAGGGAGCTCCACCGAAAGCCCCAGTGGAAAAGGCCGCCTGCCGCCGACGAGCCACTTTGGCACACCCCTCAAACGTTTCGCTGCCGCATAGGAGGATCCACCGAAGATGGTGCTCGCAACTGCGGTACGTATCCTGCTTATGGTTGGGTCTTTCGCTAGGCTAAGTGTTTACCCTCGTTGTCGGCGCATTTGACTTTAAGCGGTCTGCTCTCTTGTCGTGTCGATTCGTAGTGCTAACGGTTATTACGACTTACTTATAAATTTACAGCAATTCGGCCGCCTTCATAGGCGAGCCGAGGCCCATCCATTAAGAAGGCGTTTGGCTCAAAGGGTCCTTACATCCACAAATATATCGATTGGTTTTTTAGGAGGTCTGTTGGTCGATTTTGGACGGATCCGACGATGAGGGAGAGGAGGAGATACTCTAACATCTGGGCGCCAAGACCAAAAGACACCAGATAGGCGTTTCTGCCCAGCTTCTCGGGCCCCTGGACCATCACGGATCAGTCTTGCCCGAGGTTGTCCGCACGAAGGTGGGATTGTGATCTTCGAAAGAGCGCGTTCTGTGGGCGCTTGGAGGGTGGGGGGGTCGACCCCCCCCCGCCCCGTCCCCTCCCTCCTCCCCTACTTTTCCTCTCTCCCTTTCCTCGGGCCGGCGCCAGAATCGGCGGCGTCGGGCGTCGGCGGCGGGGAGCGTCGATGAAGACGACGACTTCCTTTTCTGGGCCAGCGCCGGCGCCTTCGGCGGCTGGCGGCGGCGGCGGGGAGCGTCGACAAGGACGACGGCGACGACGATGACGACGACGATGACGCTCCGCCATCGTGCCTTGGTTTTGGGTCAGAGTCCTGATGGATGCCTCTTGGGGTCTCGTCGGTGGGCTCTCGGGGGCCTCTAAAGGGCCATTGTGAGACTCCTGGGCCCCTCTTGGCGTCTCTTGGGGCCTCTCTGAGGTGGTGGTGGTGGGCTGCGGGGGTGGTGGTGCTGGTGGTGGTCGTGGTGGTTGTGGCAGTGGTGGTGGTGGTGGTGGTGGTGGTGGTGGTGGTGTGGTGGTTGGTGCGGGTTGTTGTGGTGGTGGTTGTGGTGGCACGTTGTGGTGGTAGTGGTGGTGGCGGTGGTGGTGGTGGTGTGGTGGTTTCTCGTGGTGGTGGTAGTTGTGGTGGTGGGTTGTGGTGGTGGTGGTGGCGGTGGTGGTGTGGTGGTTTGGCGTGGTGGTTCTGGTGGTGGTGCTGGTGGTGGTTGGTAGTGGTGGTGGTGGCGGTGGTGGTGGTTGTGGTAGTGGTGGTGGTGTGCTAGTTTGTTGTGGTTGTGGTGGTTGTGGTGGAGGGTTGTGGTGGTGATGGTGTAGTGGCGGTGGTGGTGGTGGTTGTGTTGTGGTGGTTTGTGGTGGTGGTGGTGGTGGCGGTGGTGGTGGTGGTGGTGGGTCGTGGAGGTGGTGCTGGTGGTGGTGGTGGTGTGGTGGTCTGTGCTGGTGGTGGTGGTTGTGTGGTGATTTGTGGTGGTGGCGGTGGTGTGGTGGGTTGAAGTGGTGGTGGTGGTGGGTTGTGGTGGTGGTAGTGGTGGTGGTGATTGTGGCGGTGCTGGTGGTGGTGGTGTGGTGGTTTGTGGTGGTGGTTGTGTGGTGGTTTGTGGTGGTGGTGGTGTGGTTGATTGCAGTGGTGGTGGTGGTGGTGGGTTGTGGTGGTGGTAGTGGTGGTGGTGATTGTGGCGGTGGTGGTTGTGGTGTGGTGGTGTGTGGTGGTTGTGGTAGTAGTGGTGGGTTGCTGTGGTGGTGGTGGGTTGTTGTGGTGGTGGTGTGATGGTTTGTGGTGATGGTGGTGGTGGTGGTGGGTGGTGGTGGTGGTAATGGTGGTAGCGGTGGTGGTGGTGGCGTGGTGGTTTGTGGTGGTATTGGTGGTTGAAGTGGTGGGCTATGTTGGTGGTCGTGGTGCATCTGATGCTGCTGAGTGTGGTGGTGGTTTGTGGCGGTGCTGATGGTGGCGGTGGTGGTTGTGGTGGTGGTGTGGTGGTTTGTGGTGGTGGTGGTGGTGGTGGGTGGTGGTGGTAGTGGTGGCGGCGGTGGTGGTGATGGTGATGGTGGTGTGGTGGGTTGCGGTGGTGGTGGTGGGTTGTGGAGTGTTCTGGTGGTGGTGGTGGTGGTGGCGTTTGTGGTGGTGGTGGTGTAGTGGCTTGTGGTGATGGTGGTGGTTGTGGTGGTTGTGGTGGTGGTGGGTGGCAGCGGTGGTGGTGGAGGTAGGTTGTGGTGGGTGTTGTTGCGGTTTTGGTAGAGGTGGCGTGGCGTTTTTTGGTGGTGGTGGTTGTTGTGTGGTGGTTTGTGGTATGTGGTGGTGGTGTGGTGGGTTGTGGTGGTGGTGGTGGGTTGTGGTGGTGGTGATATTGGTGGTGGTGGTGTGGTGGTGGTGGTGGTGTGGTGGATTGTGGTGGTGGTGGTAGTGGTGGTGGGTTGTTGTGGTGGTGGCGGTGGTGGGTTGTTGTGGTGGTGGTGGTGGCTGTGGTGGTGGTGGTTGAGTGTTGGTTTGTGGTGGTGGTGGTGGGTTGTGGTGGTGGTGGTGATAGTGGTGGTGGCGGTGGTGGTGGTGGTGGCGTGGTGGTTTAGGGTGGTGGTGTTTGTAGTGGTGGGCTGTGGTGTTGGTGGTGGTGGTGCTGCTGCTGGTGGTGCTGGTGGTGGTGTTGGGTGGTGGGTGGTGGTGGGTTGTGGTGGTTGTGGTGGCGGTGATGGTGGAGGTGGTGTGGTGATTTTTGGTGGTGGTGGTGGCGGTTGTGGTGGATTGTGTGTGGGTTGTGGTGGTGGTGATGGCGTTTGTGGTGGTGGTGATGGTGTAGTGGTGTGTGGTGGTGGTTGTGGTGGTGGTGGGTTGTGGTGGTTGTGGTGGTGGTGGTGGCGGTGGTGGTGGTGGTGGTGTGGTGGTTTGTGGCGGCGGCGGCGCGGCCCCCGGGCCTTCCCGCCACCGTGTTTTGGCTTCGGGCCAGAGTCCTAACGGATGCCTCTTGGGGTCTCGTCGGTACTGTCTCGGGGGCGTTTGAGGAGCATTTGTGAAGCCTCCTGGACCTTCCAAGGCCTCCTGGTGGCTGTTGGGGGGCGAGGGCTCGATATGGCGTTTTGTGTTTCCCCTCTTTGGCCTCTGGGCCCTCTCCTCTGGTCATCGTTGCTGCGTCCCCGCCGTCGGCGCTGCAAGCCGCCGCCAGCGCCTGCACCGGCGCCTGCGCCATGGGGGCGTTTGGGGAGGGGGGGGGAAGGGGGCGCAGAGTCCCACCCCTCCTCCCACTCCTCCTCCCACTCCCACTCCTCCTCCTCCTCCTCCTCCTCCTCCTCCTCCTCCTCCTCCTCCTCCTCCTCCTCCTCCTCACAGGTCGAGGCTTGGGCTGCTCCCCTATATCAGTGGGCCTTGCTCC